AAGCTGATCGTGAAGAAATAACGTGTTTTGTTTGTTTGAGATCTGCTGCCTATAAATGTCATTGGGTGAGCTTCTTGTATTATAATTAGTGATGGAATAAATAACATTTCCTGATTCTATTTTTCCACACCACTCATGATTTTCTAGACCTCTGACATATCTCCCACCCTTTACTCATGTCTTTTACTAGCTGAAAAGTCCCAGTCTTGTTAATCTTTCCTCATCTAGAAACTGTTTCTTACCCGTACTTATTTCAGTTGCCCTTTCTGTACCTTTCCCAAATTTAATATATCTTTTCAGCTGGGGTGATCAGCTCTGTATACTATGTCTGTATATAGAGGCAATATTATATTTTATATCTTATTATCGTTTCTTTTCCTAATGATTCCCAATATTCTGTTAGCTTTTTAGACCATCACTACACACGAGCAGATGTTTTCACAGAACTATCCACAAAGATTCCAAGATCTCTTTCTTGAGTGGTAACAGCTACGTTAGATTCCATCATTTTTGTATTATCAGCACTGAATTCCATCTGCCTTTGTGTTGCCCAGTCACCCAGGTTTGTGAGAGTCCTTTTGTAACTCTTTGCCATCAGCTTTGGAGTTCACTATTTTGACTAATTTTACATCATTGCAAATTTTGCCACCTGACTGTTTATGACTTTTTCAATAACATTTATGAGAAGTTTATCAGCAGTGGTCCAAATGCAGATCTTCCCCCCCCCCCCTTTTTAGGTGGAGGAGCAGGCAATGTTTTCATGATGATCTAAAGCTCCTTGTGGTCCAGGCTAGTTCCTGGAATGTATTGCTGAGAAATGTCTACTTCTTGGATTGTTAACATTCTGCATAGACCCATGGCCATTTGTCTATTGGCTATTTCTAGTGACAACATATCTGTTTCAGACTCCAGCAGCCACGTAAGGAAGGGCCACGAATATTCATGTTTCTCTTCAGCTCTGTGAGCTAACGTAAAAGCAGATAATCAGTTCTCAAGTCCGCAGATTCTTCTCCTTGCCAATCAATATTAGGTAGCATTTGTGCAGAAAAATGTGCAGAATTGTTTTGGTGGCAACTGTTCTAAATAGGGCTGTCAAGCACTTAAAAATTAACCATGATTAATTGCTCAATAAAACAACAACAGAATACCCTTGAAGTATTTGACAATGTAGAGAAACATTGCTAAACATTTACTAAATGTCAATTGGTATTTTAGTGATTAACAGTGATTAAAACAGTGATTAATTGCAATTAGTTTTCTTAGTTAATTGCATGCATTAAATAGGATTAATTGACAGCCCCAATTCAAAATTGTTCTGTTTGCAATAGAGCGAGCAGTATCTGTATCCCAGTTACATATACAAATTCTGCTTTGACTGGACAAGCTTGCCATAAATTGGTACCTAAGGGCATGTCTACACTATAGCATTATTTCGAAATAGTTAATTTGAAATAGCTTATTTTGAAATGACGCGTCTACACACAAAATGCATTTCGAAATAGCGTTTTGCTATTTTGAAATAGCGCGTTCACACTGAGTGGATGCTGAATCACATTTAAGGCTGGCCAGAACCAGGTCCAGCAGGGCATCAGGTCAAGTTTTATCTTGTGTGGCTGCTGCCTGAGGCTATCTGAGACCTGAGCTTACAGGGACCCCCCCGGACAGCCAGTTCTCAGGTTTCCCTGCTTGCTTGCCTACCTCGATGAGGGACAGCAAAGCATTTTGTCTCTGTGTGCTCTGGTTGCCCTCATTTGGGACATCACGGAGCCGGAACTGCCCCTGGGCACTCTGGTGCTTCTCTTGGAGGCGTTGCTGTGAGCCTGGCTGTACTGCAGCTTGCCATCCGGGAGGTCCATCGGGGGGCTGTCAGTATCCAGGAGGCCCTGCGGGAGAGCTTCCACCCTGAGGGGCACTAACAGTCTCCCTGGTCTGCCCCACTGGGGGCTTGTGCCTCATTCCTCCCTCATGTCCTTCCACTTACCTCCCCCCTCCCCAGCTCCCCTTCCTGATGTAAAATAAAATACACATTTTTTCATAAACATGAACTGTCTTTAACAAAACTGGGGTGGGGAATTAAACTCTGGGGAGACTGGGGAAAGGAGGTGGGAGAGGGAAACCTGGGAGGAGGGAGCTGGAAGGGGGAAGCAAGGGGAAGAAGGGGGAAGGGAAGCTCAGGAGTGGGGGGGTCTCACCGGACCAACTTGATTTTCATGCAAACCTGCTCCTGGGTTCGCGTGTGGCCTTTGGTGGCCAGGCTGGCAGCTACGCTCTCCTGGGTTCGCATATGGCCTTTGGTGGCCAGGCTGGCAGCTCCCCTGCCATAGACGGCTGCGTTCCTCTGTCTAGTGCGGAGATCATGGACGTTGGGGGCATCCCCCAAACCTGAATAAGGTCCATGATCTCCACCCTGGACCAGGGAGGTCCTTTCCTTCTCCGGGCCCTGGCAGGCTCCTGGGAGCTGGCAGACTGCTCCTGGGGAGCGGTGGAGGGCTGGCTGCCAGTGGCTTTCTGCCTCTTGTTTTGTGGCCACTGGGTCAAGGGCAGTGACTGCTGGCTCTGGGCTGGCAGGCTTGGAGCTGGCCCAGGCACTGTGGCCAGAGTCAACCCCTTTAAGGGCTCTGGGGCAGGGGATGGGAGAGGAGTGTTCTTGGTTGAGGCTGGAGTGGCCACCAGGGCACCCTGGGAAGGCTGGAGGCCCCCTATTTCCAAATAAGTGTCTACACAGCACTTATTTCGAATTAGCTATTTCGAATTTGGCGTTATTCCTTGTGGAATGAGGTTTACCAAATTCAAAATAAGCGCCCCGCTATTTCGAATCTATTTCAAAGTAGCGGTTTGGCTGTGGAGATGCTGGTAAAGTTATTTTGAAATGAGAGCTGTTATTTTGGAATAACTTTGCTGTGTACACATACCCTAAGACAACTGGGTTGGAAACAGCTCACTCCTGTCTTGGCAGCTGCTCAGCCCTTAGGTGGAGCCTAGAATCTGCACTAACAACTGCAATAAATGACTTCCATGAAAAAGCTCTATCAAGAACCCTAATCTGGCATTTCCCTGTGACCATCTGCAGAGAGCTGCATTTGGCAACAGGGTCTGAGCTGGGTTAGGGGAGGAGGAGTTGGGATCCTCCAAGACAGCAGCTTTTGCTAATGGAGTCTATCCACTGGCCAACCCTAATAAAGTCACAGAACTCATGGCCTATTCAGTGTTATTAGGCAATTATTTTTATGCATATTCACACATCATGCACTAGAGCTAAGCCGGACTCCACTAGGAGCCCTAAGCGAGATGTCCCTCTCCTTGGCGGGAGGCTTGAAGGACTTGCATATGCGTCACGAATCCTTTCTGTGAGCCTCTCCCCAGCACCACAATTGCCCTGCAGACCACTCACTGGCGTGGTGGGCTGATTGCAACTGCAACATAACTTGCGGCTAGGGATTTTCAAAAGTGCGGGGTTTTTTGTAAATGCGTAACTGCTGAATTCCACGCCGTTGCCGTGGAAAGGTGGATCTCGAGAGAGGGAGAACTACCTTTGTAGAGTGTTAGCCAGAAAAGATCTTTTTTCAACCCTAAATGGACATGGAAATGTGCAACAGCTAACTGCTGAGAGGAGCACATCCCAAGCACCATCACGGGCAGCAAGAAGTAGCTGAGGGTGGAGGGTTACAACTCCCCTCTATCGTGCGCCAGAGGGTCCTGGCCAGTCTCTCCTGTGGCTACTGCTGAAGGAAACCTTCTGGCACTGGTGTGTGTGGTGATCCCACACACCTTTGTTGAAGGGACATGAGCAGTCACTCAAAAAAGATGATGTTTTAGTGAGTTGGCTTGTCTGAGTTGTTCTGGATCCACCAGTGGGAGATGCCAAGACTGTAGGGAACTCCCACAGCCCGTGTCTCAGCACACCAGGGTAAAGAAATGGACATTGGTCTGGCTTGCACTTTTGTTTGGTGTCTGAGAAACTTGGGTTTATAGCCTCATAGTTATGTAAAGCTAGAAAGGCCTCACTGTCATTAAGCCCAGCTCCCTGTACCGGGCAGGACCAAATAAACCCAGGTAGTCCCTGTCAGCTGTTTGCCCAAACTGTTCTCCAGCCATGGGGTTTCTACGACCTTTCTTGGGAGCCTGTTCCAGGACCTAATGATGCTTAGAATTACAAAGCATTTCCTAATACCTAACACACATCTCCCTTGGTGCACAACAGACTTCTGATCCTTCCTGCCATGGATGCAGAGAACAACTGATCACCAGCCTCTGGCTAATAGCACGTAACATATTTGTACACTGTTGACCTCCCCGCCCCCATCTTTTCTCAAGGCTAAACACGCTCAGTTTTTTAACCTTTCCCATCAGTCTGGTTTCCTAAATCTTTCATCATTTTTGTTGCCTTCTCTGGGTGCTCCAATCTGTCCACCTCATTCCTGAAGTGTGATGCCCAGAACTGGACACCCTACTCCAGCTGAGGCTTCCCCCTTTATTCCCCCCACAAAAAACAAGAGACTGCCTATCAGGGTTTGGCTGCTGCCATCTGCCACAGCAGACACAATGGGCACGCCACAACAGACTTCGCAATTTACAAAGAGCACTCCCTAGCTGCTCACCTCATTGACTTTTTTGAGACCTACCTGCAACTTTCACCTGTGGCATCTTTGCTACAAGCTGCCGAAGCCCCAAGTAACTCACTGCGTTGAGGGAGTGCGGGCGCCTGAGTGCAGCTGCAAAACAGACTAATACAAATGTCACTGCTGTATGTTCCTCTGTAACCAGAGTCTCTTCTCTAAAAGGAGAGGAGAGATTAGCTATGGGACTATTTAAAGTTGCAGGCAAGAGCAGCCTCAGTGAGGCTTAAGGCCAGCATTAACTCTGTTGACCCTGAAGTAGCAGAAGGCTAATGCAGAGTTTCACAGGGATGCTTCCCAGAATCATTCATCATGCAAATGCTGACATTAGTCCCTGATACTTAGCAAACTGGAATTAAAGAGCTGCTCCTGCACACAGTACACCCACAAAACCACTCTCTGCTCTGGACTCCGCAGGGTGGGGAATTGGGCTGTGTGGGCACCAGGAGGAGCAGAGAGCACTTGGTCTGTGACAGGCCCAGCTGTTGGCTTTGTTTAGATTTCTCGGGGAAGAAGTTAAGAGAAACCGAGTTCAGACGAGTGCAGCTCAAACAAAACACCCAGGGCTAAGCTTGTCACAGTCGCAGCTTGTGACAGTAACAGAGGAGACAGACCGACCAGCTCTCCTCCGAGACAAACGTGTTTATTATTTTCATTCCAGTGGCCTTTAGAGACCTCCTCTGAGTTCAGGGACCCCACGTGCAGACACCAAGTGACACTCCCCCAAAGAGCTTACAGTCTTACCAGCCGGGTGGGCTACAGGGAGTATTATCCCCATCAGGGACAGGGAGAACTAAGGCCCCCACAGTCCCGCACCTTCACAAGATCATTTCCAAGTCACTTGATGAACCTTTCCGAAATGTGGCTCATTTAGGTTCTGTGAGTGCCACTGATTCTTGTGTTAATGCTCAGCTGGGGTAGCAGCAACATGTTCTCAGTGGCTTTGGGGCCGTATCGCGGATTTTACATTCGCCGGTCATCTGCCCTGGTGGAACCTGGAGAGCTGCTCTGTGTCAGTCTCATGGCACTTGGGAGAAGGGTGGAGACTCCATGCCTTGTTACGATTATTATTGCTACGACCCTAGCGCACGGGCACCTTCCTTGTAGACCAGACCCCATTGGCACTCAAGAGATTTCTGTGCTCTGGCCTGGGCTTTATGATCCTGGTCTATGCTGTTCATCCAACATTGAAGACAGCTGACTAGAGCCAGCTTAGCACTGCTTCCTTCTAGCCCTGCTTTCATGAACCTTGAGAGAGAATAAAAGCTGACACTTGATTCTAGGAACCTACGCCCACGTCATTGCGTGGCTGAGTCTCTGATGTAAGCACTGTAAAACCAATGGCTCCTACACATTATTTACCCTAGAGCGGGGTGGGCAAGAGAGCCTCCACCACGTGGGTGGATCCGGCCTGGGGCAGGAAGAGTGCCCGCAGCCTTCTCCAGTCTGCCCCCTGCCCTGCAAGCACCGCACGCTGGGCCGCCCCGCCGGCAACCTTCTCCTCAGTCGCCATCCCTGCCGCCCGCGGCGCTTCGCCAGGCCGACACTTGGGTCCCATCTTTCGCCGTCCAGCCCCCCGCCGGCCTTCCCCCAACCGCGCGCCACTGAGATGGAGGTGGCGGAGTACCCGTTGGGGAGGACGGGAAGAGGAAAATAAGGACAAGTGGAAGGCCTCATCTGACACTTATTGTGGGGGGATATCAGATAACCATGCAGCTGAGTTCAGCTTTGAGTGACCTTGAAGGCTGCAGGGCTGGCTGGAATTAGCAGCAAAAACAGGCAGAAGAGCATTGCTCAGAAAGAGCTAGAAACCAGCCCCCTGCTTACATGCAAGGAGCCCCCAGGCGGCTGGATTTCAATCTGGTGTGAGGCAAAAGGTTGCGCCCTGCACTTGATCCCCTTTGAGAGGGGATACTGCCTCCCTCTGTCTGCCCAGCCTCCCTTGGCTTGAGCACGGTGCTAAGGTACAGCTTGCGCAGGCACTGGGGGGGAGAGCAGAAGACTCCAACCCTCCTACTACACTCACAACTGAGTTTCCTGAAGACAGAAAAGCAAATGTTTTAAGAACATAACGATGACCACACTGGGTTGGACCAAAGGGCGATCGGACCCGGTGTCCTGTCTTCTGACAGCGCCAGTGCCAAGTGGCCCAGAGGGAATGAACGGGGCAAATTACCATCAAGGGATCACCAACTTCCATTGCCCATTCCCAGCATCTGGCCGAGACTAGCCTTCTGCATTCCCAGAGACATTTGGGTGCATTTACACCGGCAGCTCCTCAGCGGGGATGTACACAACTGAGAACTGTCAACTTTTAAACAGTGGCCTAAGTCTCTCTGGAAATGGAGCAGCTGACAACAGCACTTACGCAGCTGGACAAATATGGCATAAACGTACAAGCAGAGGGGTCAGGATGTCGCACCTGTCGGTGTTCCGTGCTAGTTGGTTTCCTGCATAGAGGGAACATGCTCAGGTGCTGAAGCTACAAACATTCAAATTGGAAGTTTGTTTTTTTTTAAAACAGCAAGGACAATTAGCTCTGGAAAAGCTTCCCAAAGCAAGTGGGAAATTCTCTACGTGTAGGACTCTTTAAAACCAGGCTGAATGATTTCCCACAAGATACATTCTAATTAAACCACAAGTTATTGGATTTGATGGCGTCACTGATGTAGCACACAAAATCAATTCTCTTCACTGCCAGATTCACTGGGTGAAATGCTTCATTCAGCCCTGCAATACACAGGACTCAGGCCACATCATAATTGTTCTTTTCAAACATTAAAATCTATTAAGGGGGATTTCTCCAACATGAATGTTTTTTACTCATGACTATTTCACAGTGTGAAGCACTCCAACTACATACTCCACAACAGCAGTGATCTTTTCTAATATGGAAGGAAGAGTCTGGATTTTGTTCACCACCAAATTGCAACTACATGATGAGAAAAAAGAAACACATGTGGGTGCAGAGGCCCTAAAAGTGCTCCTGTAACCCACCGCATAGAGAAAAAAATCTGACACCAAAGACTTTAACTCAAAAGACTGAAAAATTGCAAACGCTAGCGTAGAACATGAAGATACAATTTTCCTCATTACAACTGATTTTGCATCAGCAACACTGATCCACAGCAAATTAACAGAAGGTATGCAAATATGTTTTCCAACTTTAGGTAGTGTCCTGCTTCAGGAAAGCAGCCACCAAGAATTGCATTATACACATCGCTACATAGATCAGAACTAGAGGAACAAATGCAAGGGACACAGGAGGCCTCATCCAAAGTTGCGGTGACTTCCACGGACTTCTGGTGGCTCTGGCTCCTTCCCATGGTCCCTTGTAGGGGTTTCAGGCCCCTGTGCAGGTCACAGATGTGTGTGTGGCTACTGCAGATGCTGACAATTCTTGCAGAGAAAGGATGGCCAGCATTGTCCAATGATCATACTGTGGTAAGGGAGGTATCGGTCCCGTTAATGATCCCCAAAAATATAAACAGAGTTTAGATTTTAAAAAGAATTGTACAGTGTACAGAAAATTATAGACTTTAAATTCAAAGTAGCCATTTGACCCAGGATACAGACCCTCCAGACAGGTCCCAGCCACCCGGCAGATTGCACATTACCATTCTCATCTGGGTGTGGCAGTCCAAAGGCATGTTGAACGTCATGTGACTACAACGGAGGCTATGTCTATATAACCTAATGTTGCCAACAAAACTTAACAAAAGTAGCCAGAGGGTGTTCCCGCTTGCTCCCTCTGTCTACAGGTTGTGTCCACACTGGGGTCGTGTCCATCACCGGCAGAGTGAGCAGTGCACTGTGGGTATGTATCCCACAGTGCTGTGTTGTGGGAAGGCAGGGCGGATCCCTGTGCATCTTGGGATTCCCTCAGAGTCTCCCACAGCCTCTTCAACTGCTGGGAGCAGCATCCTGAGTAGCTTTGTGAGCTGAGGAGTGTCAGAGCAGCACAGCAGCCTGCCCCCTGCCCTCCGCAGCAGCGGCAGAGTGAGCAGTGCACTGTGGGTATGTATCCCACAGTGCTGTGTTGTGGGAAGGCAGGGCGGATCCCTGTGCATCTTGGGATTCCCTCAGAGTCTCCCACAGCCTCTTCAACTGCTGGGAGCAGCATCCTGAGTAGCTTTGTGAGCTGAGGAGTGTCAGAGCAGCACAGCAGCCTGCCCCCTGCCCTCCGCAGCAGCAGCCTGCCTGCGGCTGTGTT